TTTTTCATTTTCCTTACATGACTAACCTGATGTTCCCACAACATCGAACATTCAAGATAACGAATATTTCCAACCATAAGATACATGAATATTATCCAAAACCCATAACTTTACGTTCACCACAGTCTAGTCTTTCTTCACGTGTAGCTTCTCTAGGCGGAACTAGAATCATGCGTTACTCCAAAAGAAGATACCAATAAGAACCGTTTCATCGAAAACGAAGCAACACAACAACACTTTGATTGGATCAGAAAAAATATGTTGATAATTGAACTCAGAGGCTCTGACAGCTAACTCCCACAAAGATATATCACCTGGTAACTTGTAGGCTTCTTCAGAAGCTGCTCAAGGAAGAACGTGTATGATGAAGCGAGGATGAAAAAGTTTTGAAAAGCAGTACCAAATTAACGAGTTTCAAGCCTCGCTGCTGGTAAAAAAGCAGAGATATCGTAACTAGTAAGGATAAATGTTGCCGAGAGCAATAAGCTTGTCTCTAAATGGAAAGAAGTCACTTTACCATAATGCAGGAGCGCACATATAGTACTCGACTTGCACGGTGCCCTTGTGCTAAATAATAACAATGCTCACACAATTTCACGGATGAGATCTCTCCTCTCACGTCATAAACATATCGGAATACACAAATTCTCAACCCGTCACATATAGGACACCTCACAAAAGGAACCAACCAGAAGTTGCATTGCACCATGAAACCCTCATTTAAGTTAGCCAGATTACTGAACCGTGTGCTGGCGTTGGATTTTCATTCCTGTTATCATAGTAGCTACCGTGACCGCGCCTGTATCTTCTATTTCACATAGGGACCTATGCAAATCAAAGTCGCTTCTACTCAGGTTTGAATCGGTAATATCCCAGCAGAACTCCAATTTTACACTCGAAAATCATATGCAGTGTTTATGGGTCTCAGTAAAACTTATAACAACCAATGAATTGGCTCTAATTTGCAACATCTGGGGCAACATTATGCCTTATACAAATGGAGTTGCAGAAATCACTATTGGGAAAATATTGGAGTGCCTGAGCACGGGAGCGTTACGTCTTCAACAACCGATACGGAATTTCTCAGCGCTCAGTAGAACGTACACGCCTTTTTTCAGATAGGCAGGGCTTTGAACACGAACCACGGCATGGACAAATAGCTTCCTGCCCAAATGGAAACATAGAGGGCTACAGCCAAGACCGTTATGGGGTTACGTGTTATTATTCTGGTTTCCTCCGAAATGCGTGAGACTACGTTCCCGACACTACAGAAGAGTAAGGCACAAGTGACTCGCTCATATCTCCTTCATATCCTGTCGATTAAAGGCGAAAGTCGGTGGATGAAAAATCGGCACCGATCCTGGGTTCCGAAATCGACGACAACGGGACCCATGCTAGGATGTTACTCTTTTAGAGCGCTCGAACATAGCTGCTCTCCTTCGCACTTTTTCGTATATCATCTGGTTATACCTTCTCAGTGAATGGCTAGTGACAAGGGTTGAACAGTGATGTAGAAGAGACATACTTGAGCTCCGCAGAGGCGTAAAATTCCGACAAAGTAGCATAGGAAACCAGCTTTAAGAGTCAACACACTACAAAAACGTCCAGAATAGGAACACTCTACCTTGGCATGTGTTGCTGGACACTGGTCATCATTCCTTACTTGCTTTCGCGAAGTTTCATGCCCAGAAGCTTCTTCAGAGGTTTCTCTCGCCGTACCTGAACGAATTTTACTTTCGTTGGATCTATGTCTCTTCACAGCTGTGGTCGATATAAAACTCAGTGGATAATAGTCAGAAAGAGCGAGGTCTTGGCTAAGTTAAGGAAACATCATGGTATGCTAGAATGCATTACGAAAGAAAGTAGAAAGATGAGTTTCTTGAACCAGAAATGTTAGACATGAACCTTCCAATAGAAATTCAAAACAAGCACTATTAGGAAACAAGGGAATATTGAAATTTCTGCTGCACAAATTAAGTGAGGTACCTAACTTGAAAACAAACAAAAAAACCCACCGTCGCTGGTAGGGAGGTTTTCCAAAGAACTGTCAGCCGTATCGAGCCTCTTCGTAGTTTTCTTCGCATTTGCAACGAAGTCGCCAGGAAAATTTGCAGAGCAGTCGATTTCCTTTTTTAGCACTTGCTTTGGAGACAATATCCTCTGTTGGGTCTCAACGAGCGATTCTTCAACAGGGATTTCCTCTGTCGTCTTCTCATGTTTGCTTTTCCCATCATGTTTTACTTTACATTCTTGTAATTGTTCATCGTCGGTCTTCCCTTTAGGAGAAGCTACTACAACCGGAGTACTCGTTGCAGTAGACTCCTCTACTACAGACATTCCTCCTTTCTGTGACTCGATGACAGCTTCCTCAGGGAGAGACTGCGATGAAGCAGGTCCTGAAGATCTTATGGAGTTAGACAAATTCGTGGAACTGACATCTTTCATAGGTGATTCAGTTGGTTGCGCTGGCTGTGACTCTGTTTGATAAAGCACTTCATCGCCTGCTGATCCTTTTCCAGATGATCGTCGAGGTGACTTCTCGCCGACATCCTTTGCGACCGATGCATCCAATTCAGCTGGCTTCTGAACCAAGGGAAACATAACTAACTTCGAATGCTCTTCGGTGGTACGGTCCTGAGCAGATAATTCCTTCGGCGAGGAAACTTGGCATTCTTTAGAAGAGGATTCTTCTGCGGTAGTAGTATGGTGCTTATGTGGCTCCAGAGCTAGTGACGCCTCCTTCGCTCCTTCTGCAGTTTCCTCGACCATCGATTTTTCTGTGGGCGAACCTTCTAACAGGATATCACAGCTTCTTGAGGGAGATGCAAGAACTCCAGAGCTCACTTCCGGCTCCGAATCGTTGTTGTCACTTTGATCTAGGGACCTCTCTCCTGCAGATAAACTCTGGGTTTGTTCAACAATGTCGCTTGTTTTGGACGATCGCTCAGAGAGGGAAGGCTCATCATGGAATTCAGCTGAACGACTGTCAGTTTCGTCATCAGCAGGAAGCTCTTGTACAACTTCAAGGGTTTTTTCCTCTTTAGGGGTAGTCACTCCAGCCCTTCTCATTGCCCGCGTTATACGACTCGGCGAAGGCGAAACCTAGACAGAACCGAATCAACTTAACAAGGCTGATAAGCCGAAATACACCTTTCTTTAACGTATTTTACGCCTTACCATGCTTGACGAAGCCGAACGCCTGCGTCTGGGAGTGGCAGCGACCTTTTCATTACTTGGAGTTTCCTGCATTAGAAAAAAAGACCTGGAATTTAGAAATTATACAAAAAGGAAGTAGATATGAACCGTCATCATGGCAGCTCGGTAGGACGGCACGTGAGATCTACTTCTTTTTCGAAATGAATACANACAGCAACCAGTCAAGTCGCCTACACCTTCTTCCTGCTCCACTTCCAAACTTCAATACACTATGAACTCAGGAGAGTTTCTGCATCATCATTAAAAGGAACGAAGCAGGAAGCCTTCCATGGGAAGGAACAAAGCATGACAAGCATGTTGGAATGCCTCAAGGTTTTCAATCATAGCACGAACCATCAAGATAAGGATTATTAGCTGGAAACCAAAGTTTCGCCCCTTGCTTTTTCCCCAAAAGCGAATGCAAAGTTCTAATGAGACCAAAGACGAGAAGATAACAGTTGCAAAGTTTGAGTGGCACCATAGACAAGAACGATAACAATGATAAACTCTATATAATGACGGGTTTTACTTGCTGTAAGCTGAAGTACTATGCCTAACATAAAGATGAAAGGATACAGCTATGTATGAGTGATTCTCGTTGTTCGCATTCACCTCCTATTCAAAATCGGCGCTTATAGAGGCTAAATGCTAGCAAAAGAGCGGTCAGTCATCATGATAGTAAGGGTGATCACCGTAATGGGCGGAGCTTAAATCAAAAATCTGCACTATGGTTCGAAAATTATCCAAAGTATACTTAAGAGGGGGTAGAGGCAGAAAACGAACAAGAGGTGGAATTTATGCGTAGGTGGGGCACCCTTCCATGTGGAGGAAACTCATATAAAAACTCGTCTTCATATTTAAAAAGTTCTCAAAAGTGCGAGCAAAGAGATTTTCATGGTTACCTGGGGGCTGCACTAAAGTAGTGAACCTAAGATTGGAGGTGCAGTACTCAAAAAGCCCTACAAACGGGAAATATAAGTGAGACTGGCATAAGTTGAGAATTAGAGAGATTTTAACGTCCCGTCAATGTGTGACACACTAAAACCCTATCACGGGTAACGGAACTTCTCCCCTATCGCGGCATTCTCCCTTGCGGCATGCGGCAGATGTCACTGCAATTACCGTACTCACCACGCCTCCCGAAAATCGATAGGACGCGATATTTTTCCTTGACTGGCTTGCTTTTTCATTGGATT